TTTTTTTTTTTTTTTTTTTTTTTTTTTAATTCAAGGCAGAGATGCTTGTGATTTGAATAGGAATTGCAGATATTTATTAAAATAATATCTTTCAGAAATGTTGCTCCTTCAGAAAAAAAAAACCTTAGTGCCTCAAAAAAAAAAACAACTGTACACCCCTGAAAGTTTACATACATTTTAATACAGCTGTTTTTAGAATAGTTTATTGTACTGCTCTTTTATATTTAAATAACTTTGACTTTGCTTATGGCCAAGTTTGCACTACTGTAACTGCTGATCTAACACTGTTATCAGTGATTTTTGATAATATAGGCAGGAAACTCAAATAATTAATTCTAAGTAATAGCATATAATACAACATGAAGTCTGTACCTCCAGTTCCTTGCTAATGGATTTAAGACAGACTGTCAAGGTGTACAAAACCATCTCATTCTCTATAGAAGTCTGTAATAAAAGAGGAAGCTTCACTCCTTCCTTGTCATTCAGATTTTGTCATATGTCATGCATACTAAATTAATCTATGTTATGGCACAGTGTCGCAGTTGTATTTAGTGAACTTCAAGCACTAAAAAAATGAATATGGATAAATAAGATGCATCGTAGGACTTGAGTTAATTGCGAGAAACAGTTTCTACATGCTGGAAAGAAAGTTCTGAAGATACAGCAGCATAGATCAAATTAAGATGACAAAATACTTGTAAACTAACATGATGTCATTTGCTAGTGCTATATGTGACGAATTTACTGGTAACAATAGGCCTGATCCAGATTCCACTGAGCTTGATAGGAGTCTTTCAATGGCCTTTGGATTTGGGTTTTGAATACTTAACAAGTAAATAACAGTAACTGAAAGGAAGGGTCTTGAGCATAAATGTTCCAAGCATTTCCTTAGTTGTGAGGACACATCTGTTGTCATGTTCCTCCTTAGACCTAACATTTATTTGTTTGGTGAAAGCTTAACAACAGTTGGAGACTGCCCAGCACTCATTTCTTTTAAAATAAAAATGGGACCCACAGCAGGTGGAGTTTTAGGGGAAGAGGGGGGTATTTTTGGCAATATCTGAATGGCAACGTTAGTTCTTCAGCTACTGATATGCAGATATACAGTGTGGCTGAGCTTTTTAAGAAAGCCAGTTACCATGGCATTTGAAAACTGGAAATGAAATGCAGATGTGGCTGTTAAGAACAATAAATTGTGCTCCGCATAAAAGGAGAATTGGTTTTGTTTGCACTATAATTTAAACAAGATTCTGGGGGGGAAAATACCATGTGGGTACATTACTGGTGCCTTGTTTTTGCTGAATAGATTTTTTTTTTTTTAAGCATATTTGCTGTACCTAGCCTTCAGGTTAATTGTATTGCCCTGTTTTAAATGATTCCTTTCTCTTCAGTAAGTTTCAGTTTGGAAACCAAAGAAAACTTCATTTGAAAAATCAGCAAAAATAAACTCTGAACCATACACTTGTTTCCTACAGTTTTTCTCTCTGCTGATTTTGTTAAAAATAAAAATACCTTGCAAAAAAGTAATTGCAGCCCTGACATAAGAAAAGTTAAGTATTGTTTTGATATATCCTTTAATCTAAAACAAACAAAGCCAAACTTGGCACAACAAAGCTGCAGCTGATAGACATAACTCTAGTTACACATAGTCCTTTAGGTTGTAGCCTGCAGTGTTCTCTTGCTGTGTGCACGGGAGGTGCTGTTGCTTGGTGGGGTAAATCCGTGGTCCCTGCTGCTTTTTAAAACAGGAAGTGCAGAAGATCGCACCTGCAATGAACAGAAGCCCTGCTGAAATGAATCCTATGTAAACAGCTCCTCCTGGTTCATTTTTACTGCTCTCTGGTATTGTAGGGTCCATAAAGTTTAAAATGATCTCTCTTGTGTACCAGGATGTTGGTACTAATCCAAAGATTCCTGCAAGGATGAAGCAGATCCCTCCAGCAAAAGAAGTGTGGCTTTTAGTATCCCTGTCCCCTCCCAGCTTTGTGCATTTCATTCCAATTGTAGAGATGCAAATCCCAAAAACTGAGAGGATACAAGACAGTACCATGGTGGTCCGTGCAGTCTGGATGTAGACAGGGAGAGAGAGTATTGAATATTTCAGGGTACAGCTAAACATCCCAGTGCTATACCATGTGCAGTCCATCCAGAGCCCTTGTGTCTGTGTTACAGCTGTTATGATATTTGAACCCACATCTGCATTCACCTTCCAGGTGGGTAGTAAAGTGGCTGTAATGGCTCCAAAAACACCAAACAGGGCTAGAATAAAAGCAAAGAACTGTAGACCTCCTGATGCCATGATGATGATCTGCTGTCACCTTTTGTCTGCCCGTTCCTCTTGTAAATATGTGTAACTGGCTGATAGCTTCCCAACCAAGGCTGTAGCCGTCTGTCTGTAATAGAAAAGAGGAGGGGGGAAGAGAAGGACAGGAGGAAAGAGAAGAAATCAGGAAACAAAAAAGCTTGCATTTGAAATTAGAGCTCTGTGAATGAGTATCTGGACGTGACCCTGCAGCAGATGAGAAGCCTGCTGAGCAGCTGTACACAAGGCATTGAACGTAAATGATTACAAATGGACAGCATTTTAGAGATTGATCACAGGAAGAAGCTGCCTTTTTTTTTTTTTTTTTTTTTTTTTTTACATCACTGAGCCATCAGCTGTAAATTGGTTCCTCAGTCATGTTTAACGGTAACAAACAGATTCTTAGCATATTAGGTGGAATAAATGTTGTAAATGAAATTATATAATTATGCAAGCAGATTATAAACAGTGGTACATAGGGAAACTATATTTTATTCATCAAGTACTTGACCTTAATTATGCAAGGGGAATTAGCATGCAGCCTTGTTTTTTTAAACACACACACACATACACACACACACACACACACACTCTCTCTCTCT